TCCAATCCGGAACGGAACCTATCCATAAGTCTTGAAAAGGTGGCCGGAGCATTTCTTAAGCCAAAGGGCATTCGGTTGAATTTATATATGCCAAAAGGGCATACAAAGGCAGTCTTATGCTGGTCTTCTTTAGCCACTTCTACCTGATAATAGCCTGACCTGAGGTCAATAGTTGACATATATGGGGTAGGTTTCGCTTCATTCAACAAATCGTCTATGCGTGGCATAGGATACGTGTCGGGAACAATCTGAGCATTCAGTTTGCGATAATCGATGCAAAGTCGCATCTTCCCATCAGACTTGGGAATTAAAACAACAGGAGAGGCATACGGGCTTTCACATTCTTCTATAATGCCTTGTTCTAAGAGGGAATCGAGCTCCTGTTTTAACAGCTCTTTCTTACTTGGGCTCATTCTATAAGGAGGTACGGAAATTGGAGGACTGTTTCCTGTGTTAATATGATGTTCGATGAATGGGGTAGTTTCTCCCCCTACTTCAAAGACACTCTGGTATTTCTTAAGTAATACATCAGTTTCCAACCGTTGCGAGGGAGTCAATTGTTGTCCTTCATTTTCNGCCTTGTTCTAAGAGGGAATCGAGCTCCTGTTTTAACAGCTCTTTCTTACTTGGGCTCATTCTATAAGGAGGTACGGAAATTGGAGGACTGTTTCCTGTGTTAATATGATGTTCGATGAATGGGGTAGTTTCTCCCCCTACTTCAAAGACACTCTGGTATTTCTTAAGTAATACATCAGTTTCCAACCGTTGCGAGGGAGTTAATTGTTGCCCCTCATTTTCGCGAAGTTGGCAATTGTTTACTACAATCGAAGTTTCTGACAGTTCTTTATGTTGATGGGGCTTCACAAAACTATATTTTCTTCGAGGATCATCTGAAAAACTCCACTTGTTTTCAAAAAGGTTGAGCACAATTTTAGCCTTTTGAAGAAAGTCTATACCTAGAAGAGTGGAGTTGTTTTTAGCACCAGGCAGAATTATTAATGAATTTCTGAACTCTCTACCTTCTAAACGGATACTTTATTCAGTGCGAAGTACCTCTTTTTCCGATTCCAAACCATCGGCAAAAGACACCTGCAGTGTCGTTTTTTCAAATACTGCATTCTGTTGCTGCAGAACTTGGTAGAGTGATTTGTGACTTCAATGTTACAATTGTAGGGGTTATTATTATTTTTTTTTAAAAAAAGGTATTTTATTATTTGATTGGGTAAATTTATAAAAAAAAACAANCCCACTATCAGCGAAGGCAGTACCTGACACACCTCCAATACTAATAGGCAATACAGCCGTTCGGTTGGCACGTGATCGGAGTTGCACAGTTCCAAAATTAGAAGAATTTACATACCTCGAAGGATTACAATCTGGACATTTAGCTTTGGTAAAACCTGATTTACCACATCCATAACATACCAAAGAACGGTTTTCTTGTCTTCGCTGCTCCCCATGACTTGAAAAAGTCTTATTGTTTCTATGAATATCACTGGGGTGATAGTCTGTTCTACTTCTGGGAGTATAATTTTGCTTGGGAGAATAATTCCGCCTTGCAGAGGCTTCAACTTTACGATTCTTGTTCTGAAACCGTACTGCTTCGTAATCATCTAGTGTCTGCATCAAGTCGCTCGAACTTTTTATCGCACCCCAAGAATCAACGAAATGTTCTCTAACATCATTACTCACTCTTCTTTTAAGTTGGTCCGTAAGCATCAGATCTTTGAGGGATTCAAAGTCAGTAACATCTAGGCTATGTAGCCATTCTTCCAAATAATTATTTAATTGATATCCAAAATCTTTCCATAAAGTCCCAGGCAGTCTCTGGTGAGTGGTGAATTTAATTCGAAAAGATTCAGCGTTCAATTTAAATCTCAGGAGCAGGATTTTCTTTATGTACGGATAGTCTTCCAACTTGTCTTTTGGTTCACGTAAAATAATTTGTGAAATTTCTAAAGGCAGGAGAGGTAGAAGGTGAGTTAGGTAGTCTGTCTCATTTACCTTCAATTTTTGACATTGTCTTTCGAAAATTTGCAGGTAGCCTGCAATATCAGAAGTTTCTTTAAACTTGGGAATTAGATGTTGCATATTTATTTCAGCAGTTGCTTTTGAAGCTCCCAATTCGATGGATAAAGTTTTTAAATCGTCTTTACGGGCCTTGGCTAAGTAAGTCATTGCTATTTGTGGAGTCAGGGGGGAGGGAAAACGATGCAATATGTATTTTAATCGTTCAGATATTGTTTTTCTATTGTTCAGTTTTTAGTCCTTGCAGGTAATCTCTTTCACAAAATTTGTTTTTTTTTTTTTTGTAAATTTACCCAATCAAATAATAAAACACCTTTATTTTTAAAAAAATAATAATAATAACCCCTACAATTGTAGCATTGAAATCACAACTACTTTGTAAGTAAAACATGTGAAACAACTACATAATAATAAAACAAACCAATATTTTCAAAAGAGAGGAAATCTGGTAAAACTGATAAAATTTCGAAATCAACTTCAGTATGCACATATAGAAATTACCCCTTTAAATGCAAATTATAAGCATATTTGCAAGTTTCAATGTGTTTTACCTATTTTTTTTTTAATATTTTAATTTTTAACAATATACATGAGCACTTACAACGCTTTTCTTTACTTAAAAAACACGCAAAAGAAATTTAACGCCTTTAAAATAATACAAATATTTATAAAAATAATATCATTTTATACACCTACAGTAATGTAACTCAAGATATCAGTCACTTTTAACTCTATTACTATTTAAAGCACTCATCAACAAAGCAAAAGTAAATTAACATTCCTAAATTAAAACAAGCGGATATCATTAATTTTAACCCAATATCATTCCTTAGGTTAACTTACATATAAATCAATAGGAAAAAATATAACGAATAAAACACACTTTATATTTATCCTTCATCAAATTAATGAGAATTACTTCATGACTAAATCAATTCCATAAATTATTATCATCAAAACCATTAAGTATTAAGAATGAGCTTAAAATATAAGTCTGGCTTGAAAATCAAAAAATAACATCTGCGCCAGAATAAGTGTATATCTTATTTCTATAACAGAACGAAATATAAACTTTTTACATAAAATATTTCTCTTAAGCACCACATCTAATTACTTTTTAAAACATGTATGACTAATAAGTAATAAAACTTTCCCGTGATGCGCTATCTACTGATTTATCGCAGCTACTTAAATGAGTGACCTTCAACTTAATATTTAACAGAGCTGCTTGCTCTTATTATAAAAGATTAACTAAGTTTCAATGAATAAATTGTATTTTCACTCAAAACACTTAAATATTCTCACTTAAATTCCATATAAGAAATGATATATTTTAAGCAATATTTTTACGTTCACAACACATACATTGAAACAGTAACTTAAGTTTCTCTACGCAGTTAGAAATATTTACCATTCACACAACGTAACTAAAATATTTCTCAATAACACAAGAATTTACAATTTGGCACTTGAATATAAAAAGATTTGATGAAACTATCTCATGATCTATAAGTACAGGCTTAGAGGGAATTAAGCTAAAAAATTACACATCAGAAATAACAAACTTCTTTATATACTATTCTTCAAAAGTGCATTCTAATTGCTGATAGAAGCAAAATTATATTAATTATACACTATAACACATTTAAAATTAATTTCAAAAATAGTACTTGTTCTTCCAAGGAAAGCTGTTTCGCTAAAGTAGTATAGTTCTGTTACATATATAAATAAATAAAGAGAGAGAGAGAGAGCTGTAAGTCAGTTTATTTATCTTAAATATTTCTAATTAATAATTATTAATGGTTTCGTCCCTTTATCCCATGCTAGTAGTATACCAGTTTTGATTAGTTTTTTTAATAATGACTAAACTTATTTATATGTAAAAAATATTATCTATTAATGACTTTCTTTAAAAAAAAGTGTTGCTATTCAGCAAATTTTTATGGCTGAATATTCTGTTAAATAATTCTTATGATCAAATTTCCATTGGACCATATTTTGCAGATTGTGGCAAATTCCTATATTTTGAAAGTCAATACCCAAATCTGCCAGAAACGGTATGTTTATTCAGTGAAAGCATTTGTCTGATTTTATATCTCAAAATATCGTCCACAGTAAATTAATTGAAATATTTTAAGTCAGGCCCTTAAATCAATAAGATTGATCCCTGTTTATTGAAAATCTGATGATAAGATCAAACGCTATTCATGATGTTATTTTATAATGCATTTGAAATCTTCATGATTTTGTTGGGAATTCACTTTTAATTATAAATCTATCATAGTTTCATCCTTGTTATTAGTTACTAAACCTTTAGAATGAATGTTGGACGATTTAAAATGATTTCTATATTCATAGTTTTTTTCCTTATATATATTTTTTTATTTTTTCATCATGATATACGGGTCTTTTTTACTTATTCAAGTCATCTGCTTTTACAAATTTATGAACATAATGCAATAACTTCTCAAAGTATGAGTAATAATATAAATTCTATTTATAATTTTAGGATTTCCATGAAGTTACTTTAAAATGCAATGGCTGCAAAAAATATATTCCAACAGGAGGAATGGATTCTCATTTGACTCAGTGTAAATCAAAAGTATGTCCTTATTGTGATAAATCCATGAAGGGCAATCCACAGACTCACTTAACTAAATGTAATGACTATAAAAAACGGCAGCAAAAGTCACTTAATAATCAAAGTAAGCTTTTTTTTAAATAAATGACTAAGATAACTATAGAAATACATATCAAATGATTGCAAAGATTCATTCCCGATTTGAAATCAAATCAAATACAATGCATATTCATAAAAATGTATTTACTTTTAAAAAGTGTATTTTCCATCATTTACTGTAGACTTTTTTTTTTTTAACATTTTATACATTTTCAAATTTTTTCTTTCCGTAGAATTAGATGCTTGTTTTATTCCACCTTATAACAATTTTATTTCTTCCGCAAAATAAATATTTTCCTCATTTAATTTATTTTATCTAAAATAGAATCTGTGAATGTATTAACTGACAGGGCCAGACTCTGTTGAACAACATGTAAGAAATAGGGCTTTTTCAATTGACCAATTGTGGAAATATTGCTTGATTTTTAAATTAAATTAAAGAAGTTCCTTTCATTTTTTTCCCTGTTCTGTTTTTCTTTATTCTATAAAGTCATTCTTTATTGCATTTTTCTTTAAAGCAATTCAGATTAACCATTTGAAAGAGTTCAAATTAGTATGGCAAAAATTATTACTGGTTTGAGGCGTAGCTGTCCAGATAAAATTGTTCTGTTTGAGTCTGACCTCCAGCCATTATACATGAGAAGGAACTCAAGAAATACTACAATAAGCTCATCAGTTTTGGAGACCAAAACAGAACCTCTTCCTATCTCAAAAATTGGAAAAACAACTATAGACTGAAGAGAAACAGTCCCTTCTCTTTGACCACTTCAATTCATCTTGTTGACTTGCAACATCCCTGCCGAATTGAACCTCATTCCTTGAGGTCATGTTTTAGCCCTGTTACTGATTTTTCTGGTATCCATTTCCACACGGAGCTGTTGTACCCGGCCCATAAGAGTAACGACAACCCAGAATTTATGAGACAAGTGCTTTTGAAACTATTAGCCAAATGCCAACATATGCTTTACAACTATACACAGATGGCAGCAAGAGTGAAGAAGGTCATTCAGGTAGTGAGGTTTTTATTAAAGCACCCACGTACGCATTGAGTCTCAAATTTAGAAATTCTGAATTTTACACGGTTTTCAGATCTGAGCGTATTGGGATTGAATATGGTCTAAGACATGTTGAGAATATTGCTGAGCCTGACTTTAAGCATGTTTGGATACTGACGAATAGCAAATCTTCAATCCAACACCTAAGCAACTGGATGAATGTTGGAGACAGGGCTGTGCCTTCAATTTTGGGGATGCTCTTTACGCTCTCAGCGGACTTTGGGGTACACTTCCCGTGCATTCCGTCACACGGAATCAAAGGTAACGAGATGGCGGACTTACTGGCTAAAGATGCTTTTTTAGAACCTTTACAGCCAGATATGCCTTCCACTTTCAATGAGGTCTTCCCAGAGTGTAAAAAAAATTTAATGGACCTCTGGAGGGTTCCTCCTCTGCATAGTTGGTATTTCAGAAAACACCCTGGAGGTGCCTTGCTTTTTGAGGGACTTAGAAGCCAGCAGACTTGTTTCTCTCGCTTTGCCACTGGTCGCTTGAGGTGTCTCTCATATGTTCAGAGGCAAAAGACTTTTACACTTTACACTAAATCTAGGACTGCTCGGGCTTCGTCCGAGCATATTCTAAACTGTATTGATTTTAAGATCGACAAGGTTTTTTCAAAATCTCATCTGTCTTTGGACTTACGGATTTAGTCTGATTGGGATGGACCTCTTAGGGATTAGAAACAACAACAGATTAACCTTTTGCAATCACCTGGTATAGATACTTTTTAAGTTTATTTGTTCAGATAATCAAGAGTATATTGTATATTTGGTTACAAAAAAATTAAATAAAAAACTCATCATGTAATTTACATTAACTTTTCAACTTTTTTAAAACTTTTTAATTTTTTTATAGAATGTTATGTAGTTTCAGAAGATTGAAAAATAGTGAGTGTTTTGGTAAATTAATTTTATAAAATTAATAAGTTAACTATAGTTAACTAAATGCATGTATGGATTTATTGATTTTTAAAAATTTTCCCAGAGATACTCAACTTTTCAAATTGACCATATTTTCTAGATTATGTTTATCTTTTATGATTTTAAGGTCAAAAATGTGAATCCTATCCAATAAAAACGTGCTAAAAAGTTGCCTATTTGTGTTGAATTTTGTAACTTAGTTATTTTTTGCACCAATTTATTAGCATATTTAAGATATTAAAATCAACCCATGAGACATTAAATCATATTATCTATAAATTCAACTGTAAAAACAAAAATTGTTCATAGGGATTTAACTTTTTTTTTTCATTACAAAGTGAATGTGTAATTTATAACACAAACTGGAATAAGGACTATTAATCACTCTCTTTATTTTTTATAAAAATTTATATCACCAACCACACCTCTCCTTTTTTTTTTTCAATTGTCATAAATTTGTTTACAGTGGAAGAGAAGATCAGCAGGCTAAATACCAAAAGCTTTAATTGTATCAAGCATATTGTTATTTTTTAAAAAAAATTTGCATTTAACTGCATTATTATTGAAAGCTTGCTAACTATCAATTTTTGTTCTGCCGTATGGTTGTTTTGAAGTGGTTCCAAATATGTGTGGAAAAGGTGACAGTAAATAAACTACTTTGATCAGATTTTTATTATGTTACTGTCTTGAATGCCATTTAAAGCCTAGTCTATCTATAGAAACTATGTTGATTTCATGATCCCACTTTTATTGCTAACTCAAATACTACAAATAAAAAAAAAAAATTATGTTGCAATAAAAAATTTCTTTAAATATTGTATTTTTTTTTAATTACATTGTAATTACTACATATCTTATCAATTTTTGAAAATGAGAGTTAAGTCACGATTTTATTTAATTCTCACTTCACAATAACAAAAACATTTAAAATCAGAAATTTTTTAATTTCTTTTGTACTAGTTTAACTTATATTTTTAAAGAAACTATTTGTTTCAACAGGAATGTTGTTTTTAAAAATAATTCTATAATTTTGGGATTTGTTTAAAAGTTTGATATGAAGAAATCTAATTTTCTCCTGCATATATAATATTTTCATTGGTTATTTTGATAAATAATTTTTCTTATAAATAACTTATTATATACATAATTTATTTTAGATACTGGTGCAAAGCCAAAGAATAAAAATTCAGAAGTAAGAAACTTTTATTTTCTTTAAACAAAAAATTCATAGGCATTTGAATACATATATAGTGTATAGCATTTGAGTACTACAGTACAGAACCCGTTATCCGGAAATCAGAAAACCGGAACGAAATTCGATAAATTTTCCGCCATTTTTTTTTTTTTTTTTTTAAATTGTTTTTTTCCTCATAAAATTTTAGGATTTTTCTTTCTTTTTTGAAAGATGCTTACCTTACCATGAATTTGGAAATAATCATTAGTGAATTACTTCATCGTTTTTTCTTCTTTTTAAGATTATTTCCCAACATTTTTTTTTTTTTTTTAGTTGGGTTTAACAATAAAAAAACGGCTTTTTGTAGCGATTCAGAAAACCGGAAAAATCAGTTATCCGGAATGGCGAAGGTCCCGATCGTTCCGGATAATCGATTTCCTACTGTATTATAATAGGCTTTCAAATGCCTAACTCAACAAATATATGCGATGATTTCAGGACGAATTAAAACAAAACATTATTTCATATGTCTATATTCTAAATTTCATCCACTTATTTTTTATAGTTCATGAGATAATGTATTATTTCGAAATTGAGAAACAAGGACCAAATTAAGATGGAGAAAATATATTTAAAAGTGCACAGTTTCACTAAGCTATAAAATAAAACTCAGTGATGTTTTGCATCCTAATTAAAATTATTTTTGGATCGTCTTAAAAAAGTCAATACTGTTATTTTTTTTAATGTTTCAGATTTTTAAAGATTTTGAAAATGCTTAAAAAAAGCGTCTCAACCCAATGCAGTCTGACCACCCCTAATATTATTTTGAAGTGTATTGTATAAATATATGATTTTAATGTTTATTATTTTATAATGAATTTATTTTATTATGAATTATTAATGTTTATTATTTTATAGAGAATTTTATTATTATTTATAATGAATATTTTAATGTTGATTTTATAATCCTTTTCTTACTTAAAAGTTCCCAGAAAAAAATTTCTTTTATTCGTAGAAAAGCTTAATATGTAGAGTATTAAAATTAAGATTTTTTTCAAAATCAGGAAATAATTATAAGTATTGTAATTTCACAGAGATACACCGCCCTGGAATGTGCGCCACACCTGAAAAATCTAATTAAAAGTTTTTCTTCAGAAGGGCCCCGTACCATTGGATACCCTCACAAAATCTTACTGTGTAATCGTTCACAGAGTTACCACGTCTGTTGCAATTAATGAGTTATATATATAATAAATGTTTAAAATAATTATTAAATATACAATAAGTTATATGCGATCTTATTTAAAATCAGAAATTATGCGTTTCAATAATTTTTATCATAACTTTCCAATTGTGCACAAAATTATACGCTGGGTATCAGCGCACCTGGAAAGTCATGAATTTCAGTATTGAACAAAATTCGTCATGATTTTAACTTTTTTTTAAAAAAATCATGGAAAGTCATGGATTTCCTGAAATTTTATCCCTCCCCCCCCTTTTTATGGTGTTCCGAATATTTGAATTAGTAATAAAATCCCCTCTCACAGTCATATTTTATTAAAATATAAAATGTGTTTATGGTGTTTTATCAAACAATTAATGAAAAAACATCATTTTTAGAATGAATTATCTTTTAAACTTCAGTGATTTCAAAATTTTTGTTATCAGGGATCTGTCCAGACATTTTGTGAAAGGTTCGGTTTTTGTAAAATTGTGAAAAAATTACTCGTAATTCGTGAATATAAAATCAGTGTTAAGTCACGTTCTTTCAACCAGGGTCCTGTTTTGTGAATTTGTGCAAATAGGGTCCTGTTATTGCAAAAAGTCTTTTCAAGGAGTTTTTAAATTGTAAATGGATACTAGATTATGCTCAACACTGTAAAATTATAATGAAAAAATTTAGTATCGGTAATACCTGTTTATTTTCAAAAATAAACAGGTATTGCTGCTACTAAATTAGAGATGCAACATACAAATGTTTGGTATTTAGCCTATACTGCCTCAGAATATTCATTTTGGACGAATAATGGAAACAAAATCACTCACATTTTTCATAATTTCATTTGACATATTTTAAATAACACAACTTAGTTATGTATCACTTCTAATGTGTTACACATTAAGTAAACTTAAACAATACTTAAATTTATAATATTTTTTTTTTCGAAAATGGACATAAGTTAATTTCCATTTACATAATATTTTATCAACTAATTTAATGAATAATATATTGCTCAATTATTTAATTACAAAAAAAGATATTAAAAATCTATAAGAATGTACACACAATGTTTGTAGAAATAGAAATATTTTCTTAGAATACTACATTTGGAATTTATAAATGTTTTTTGACTTCGAAGAGGTTAAGGAACATGTTATAAATGGTATGAGATTAAACTTACCCTTAGAATTAAAGCAGAAAAACATGATTAACAAAATATAAGAGCAATATACGTTGATTAACGAGTGGAATTGAAAATAACTATAATAGCTGAGCAATTAGCATCAGTCAATTTTTCCTGCCCATTTATAATACGCAAATGTCTATCGGGTGTCTCTTGTGAAGGGTTCATTTTTAAGTTTAAATATTTTGTGAAGGGTCCGTTTTTATGAAAAGATATTTTGTGAAGGATCCGTTAATTGCCCCAAATTTCTTCTGAACAGACCCCTGGTTATTATTATTGATTTTTTGTTTCATGAATTTAAAATTCTAGCTGAAGCAATCCAGCCATTGGCGAATTTTTTTTATTCCAAAATAAGAACAGAAAAATCAGGAGTATTTCTTTCCTTTCCTATGAACAAGAAAAGTATATTCAGAATATAATTCTGCTGGAAAAAAAGAAGAAAGAAAATAGTTTGCTTTTGTATTTTTTTCAGCTATTTTATTGCTTCAACTCTTTCTTAACTCTGTTTTTTAAATTAAAAATCTTTAAACATGCAGATGCCGAGTATAACAGTTTTGGTTATACCTATCATTTCAATTAATGTTATTCAAATGCGTTTTTATATTTATTGCTGTGTTTTTGTTGGAGAAAATAGTAACTTCGTTAAGTCATGAAAAATTCTTGGAATTAGTCATGAATATGAAAATTTAAAATGTAGCAAATACCTTGTACAGTGTACAATTGTATGCAGTTCAAATACAACACAATCCCAAACTCATGTTAAACACTAATTTAAAATTCTCGCATTTTATGCAAACCAACTGATTACGAACCTAAATTAAAATAAGTTATCAAAATACAATAAATTGATAAAAAGAATCTTACTTTGCACAAAGTTTACCATATAGAGGGCAATCACATCATGTTGCTTTGTTGTAATTTGATTTGAAATAATTAACTTAAATATTAATAAATCAAATAATTAAACTGCTAAAATGTCTTACAATAATTTAAAAAAAATATTAACAGTAATTAAATTAAATAAGTCTTGTTTTGATTAAAATTGTACTATACAAAACAATCACAAATGCATACTGTTTCTTTTTACTAATTTTAAATTTATAAAATTTTAATCTACCAAATGCTTTAAAATAATTTTTAAAAAATAAAAATTAACCAATTCTCTTTTTGTGCAAAATTAAAGCTTAAAATGACGGTGAATGTGTTATTATTTTATTATTTATAATATCGTAGTTATAAATAAATCAAATGATGAAACTGCTAGAAAATATTAAAACAAACGTTAAATATAAAATAAATAAAGCCAATTATTTATCCAACTTTTTCATATTTCAATGTTTCTCTTGTTTCAATTCCTTACAGATTCACTGCTGCTTTGCACATTTTTCCATAGGAAGTATTATTATTTTTAATAGCTTTTAAAATTGTGAGTTCTTTTCTTAATTTGCAGAAGGAGAATTCATTTTTATAAACTGTTTTTTACCCACATTGTTAATTCTTTAAATAATTATTAATGGTAAATTATAAAAATTGATCGCTGCATAAGATAGAAAAGGGAACAGTAGTAATAAAATTTTGATTAATCAATTCCACAAAATAGAATTTTTAAGTTAAATTAGTAAAAAAAAAATACAAGGTTAGCCGCTTTATGAGATACCCCACACATACCAAAATTTAATGTTTTAAATCATAAATGCCATGGTCTATCTCTGCTAAATTACCATAATTATTTTACATATAGTACTAGTTATTTTTCAAACTTATAAAATAATCTTAACATACTATGTATTTCCCAATGTCTTAACTTTTAGAGGGTTAGAAGGTTGCTTAATAGGCTGCTAACTCTAAACACTCAAGGAAATTCTTTTCTCTTAGAGGCTATAAATAAATATAAATGTCTTCTTTTTTTTATTTCATATTAACTTCATATTTGTTCATATTTAGGTAAGATTTTAATATCTATTTCATCGATTTTAAAGGGATTATTGTATCTTGGAAACATTTGGAAATTTATGAACCAATTAGTGTCCATATTTCCTTTTTAGAATACAAATACAGTAGAGAACTGATTATCCGGAACAATCGGGACCATCACGATTCCAGATAACTGATTTTTCCGGTTTTCTGAATCGCTGCAAAATGCCGTTTTTTTTTTTTAATGTTTATAAAACATAACTAAAAAAAATTTTTTAAATAGTTTTAGAAATAATAAAATATGATAAATAATAATACACTTAAGTTTAAATAAGGAAAGAAATTATGAAATAAAAATTATATACATATGTTATTAATGTTATTATTAACATTAATAACATATATAAGCTATTTGTGCTTATGTGAGATTCGTCTACAAACGGCTTTTGATCCGTCCTCTAAATCAGTTCTTTCGTCTACTCGATATGCCGTACGCTCTAAATAACAAAATGGGCTCAAAATCTTGCAGGGGAAAAAAATTTTTTTAATGGAAGATAATTAATTTCATTCCGGTTATCTGGTTTTCTGATTTCCGGATAAGCGGTTCTGCACTGTAGAAGTCTTGTGAAGGCCATACTCTCACAGTGTGAGAGAAGGTTAAATAAGTCACTCACTAAAAAAGGTTGCATTTTATGGTGTCTGATGTCTATTAGCTCAAAAGTTTTAGATATATTTTCTTTGCTTGTTATCTTTCGTGTCAATTAAAGCCCTCAGCTTATTTCCCCCTCTCAACAAGTGTGATCTGACATTTCTTCATCCCATTTGTTTTGTTTATCCTCTGCCAGCAGTCTCCATGATGTTAACATGAGCCTTCCTGGATTCCTTTCACAATTAGTGGCATTTATTAAGATTACTGGAGCTTATCAGAAAACATTCTTAAAATATGACCGATTTACTTCGGCCATCTCTTTATGTTAATTGTGAGCAGTGTTGGTTTTGTCTATAAAGGGTGGAGGTTGATAAATTTTGAGACGAAAATATTTGTTAAAATTTTTCAAGTAAATTTTAAGTATTTATTTATTATTTAGTATGAAAGAAAGATTAAAAAAATACTTTTAAATTGCAATTCTTAAATGCTATTAAATATAACTACTAAGTGAGATAAATAATTTTGCTTTTATAAATAATGATTTTTGATTTTTAGGAGTCTGGTGCTTTAAATAGATTTACAGGAGCAGTTAAAAGTTTTTTTTATGGTTCTGAAAAAACAAACCCTAGCCATTCTATGGATTCACAAACAAACTTGTATTCTGCTGCTGCTAACTATAATGGTAAAATAATAAGCATAAGTTTAATTTAGTTATATTATCTATATTATGCAAATATGTATATATATTTATATATATTGTTACCAAACTGATAAAATTTCCCTTTTTTGCGACAAAAAATTTTAAGTCTGTCATTACTAGCAGGTGAGAAACCATAAGTATGAAAAAGAAAAGTCAATATAATATGATGCTTTTATTTAATAGACAGTTTAAGGGTTTTAGTTTTTTTTTTTTTTTTATAAATACTTATTTTTTTCTAATCTTATTAAGAATTTTTAGACACAACAACTAAAATATCTTGGAAAACCTATCTATAAAAGCACAAGAAAGAATCAGTGTGCCCACCATTTTAAAATGTATGGCCCAAGCAGTAAACTATAAGTTACAAAACTGTAAATTACAGAACGGCATCAGTATTTATACTTTTTATTGTTTTTTATGTTAGCAACATCTGCACAAAAGCATACTCTTTTCAAATTTAAAAATAAACTATTTCAATTTATATATGCCATTAATGAAGCATAGAGACCGAACTTGTTTACATGACTTTCTAGATTATGATCCTTATTTGATTCAATTTATGTGTCTTCAAATTTACAAATAGTGTATGTAAAATTTCACCCGTATCATTTAACATAGGTAGCCCACTTTGGTGCTCAGTTTTTGAAACTTTCATCAAATTTTAAATCAGTTTTTGTTTATAAGCATTATATAAAAGATGTGTAGGTTTCAAAGAGCCATATAAAATTTTAAAACTATTATTGACGCCAGTATTGAACTCAGCTAATGCAACAATCTAAAAGAAACTGCTAAGGCAGTACAAATAGTAAACAAGTTCAGATCTAGAATATCGTTTTCTTTACAAACAAAAATTTCTTATTAAAACTTTTTTTTAAAATTCTTATTCATTTGATCTTTTGAAAAAGATAAAAAGGGAAGATGTTAATTTCCTCATATATTGCTTAAATGGATTGAACTTTTTTAACTCTTGCCATACCTCAATGGTTTAAACAATTCAGATTGCACTCTATTAATCACATGTTACAGAATTTACTCATTTAAATCCTCCAACTCAAAATCCACTTACCCTGTTTGTAGCATTCATATTAATAATGCAATTGTATCAACATTTATCTAATTTTTATCGTTAAAATGTATTTCTCAACACTAAGCTGCATGTTTTGTAATTCTTAAGTTTGTTTTTTCTATGGATAAAAGAAAACTTAGTTGCTCCTCCTGATGAAATAATGTATGTGTCTTGTGAATTTTGTGGTAAAGATATTATAATGGATCAAGAAGTAATTGCAATGCATGAGGTATTTATTTTTTGTTTCAATTAATCATCAATATTGTCAAGATATCTTGTTTTATTTAATTTTTGTTTGCTTTATTTTATTTTGTTTGTTATTAAAAATGTTTTCTGTTTTAAAAAAAAAAATTTTTTTGAGACTTAAATTCTTATTTTTGTTTTGACTATCGAAATTATTAATTGACAGTCTTTCATTTTAATATAAAAAATCACTTACTGCTTACTTACTTTTTTTCTCTCACTCTTTCAGTCAGGGTGTCGTCCTGATTTGGTCAGTCTTCCTTCAGCTGTATCAGATGAACACAGATTGCATAAATCTGCTCATGAAGCTTATTCTTATAGTGATCAAGCTAGTGCTCTGCAAAGAGAAAGAAGGTACTTAGAAAAGCCGGAAGACAAAAAAGTAACTCCTGATGATGTTTCTTGTGAGGCTGATACTTACAATTTCATGAAAAACTTTAGAAATAAATATGATACTCAAGATACTTCGTATCAAGAAAATTTGGAAGTAGAAGCTACTAAAGGCAATCTTGGCTCAGAGATTAATGATATCGGGCGCTCTTGTGATAAATATATAGTTGAAGATGCAAATACCTGGGACTGTAAGGAAAGTCGTTCAATGTCAAAATGTCTGGAGAAAAAATATGAGAGTAAATATTCAACTATAGAATCTAATGATGAGTACCCTGAAAATGTACTTGGATCCCAGGAAAACAATGAAATAAAAGAAGATTCTGATGTGTATGAAGCAAGATCATATCTAAGAAGATCAAAAATGTCTACAGAACCTGGAGAATTTTTGAAGAATAACTTGGATTGCAAACAGGTGAACTAAATAATATATGTCATTACAAAATATACATTCTCATATAAAAAAATGGTCTCAATTTAAATAAAATAAAATTTTTGGGGGTTAGAGAAATAAAGCAGCTTAAAGAATAAAGAGTTAAAAATAGATTTTGATGTTATTTGGTCGCAACAGTGAATTAATGAATTATACAATTGTATTAAATTTTTAAAAAGTTAGTCGTTATATTGATTGTTAAAAAGATAGTATAATATTTATATTTGATTTTTATAAAATGCAATAAACATAAAATAGTTGGTTAAATTTAATTAAAATTTGATTCAGGATGATAAAAAAATTAAATTTTATGAAACTAAAGAAATTTTTGATGCTAGGAAGTATATAATGGCATCACAAGATCTTATGTATTTAAAAATAGAATTTGATGATAAGTAGTACATATATGAAAAATTATTAAATCTGAAGTTTAGTACATAAGGAAATTCAACTTCAATGATTAAATGGGATTATTCTAATAATAAAATATATGTATCTTAGCCATTTATTTCTGCTCTTATTTTTTAACAGAGCTTTTAAAAAATATTCAATTGTGTGTAGATTGTATGTTAAATGTATTAGGAAGCTTAGATGCACAATCTGGCAATTACCAACCATTTGCATTTTATGTAATTTTGTATTGTTAATTTCTTTTGTGTGTATTCAATATTAAGTTATCATTTCAGTTTGATCTCAGATCATCTAAGAAGAGGGGGAAGCTCTCATCAGATTTTACAGACAATTCAGATGTTCGAAATAAAGATAAATTGTATAATAGCTGGCAAGAAATCGATGCTAGAAGAGCTGAAACACATTACAAAAATAATCATAATGAAAGGGATAAACCAATTCACAACAACAGAAAAAAGGTAGTATCCACTGAAGGCAGGAAAAGTGAACAGATTGCTAATCAGACTAGTTTGAATATTAGAGAAAATGTAGGCGTCATTGGAGCAAAGTCCAGCTCTAATAAAGTGATGAATAAGAATGCTTCACCCTATTCTGATAATTATCACCACGATTCTGACCCAGAAAGCTCTAAGGAAGATAATTCTGATTATAAAAATAAAAGCATGATTCATTCTGGCAGAAAAAATGTAACCTCTTCCAAATCTGATAAACATACCTCAAAAAGCTATTCTTCTAAGGACTGCAAAAAAGACTTAAATGCATTCCACTCAACATATTCTTCTACTAAGGTTCTAGATGAAAATATATCTGCTGATGATCCTCTGTATGATTCTGATCCTGAAAGCTGTAAAGAAATGAAAGATTCTAATGCCTATGATTACAGCTATATCAAAAATAAAGCAGAGCGAATTGAACTTGATACTGAATCAGGAAAACATTCTAACCAAGATGTGTTCAAATCTGAAGCTTCTATCATTTTCTCTTCTGAAATGAAAGGTCCTGTCAAAATTGATCGATTACGCAGAAGAGCAGAAGGCAAAGTTAATGAATATTCAGAACATTTTGAGAGAAATAAACAAGTAAGTACATTGTATAGTTATATACTGACTTGATTTTTCATGTTAACTTAACACATAGGTCTAAACTTAGTAGTAGCAATTATATAATTGCTCTGCTGCCAATCTATGGTAAGAGTGCATGTGTAACTCAGATGAATTTTTATGCTGCATGAAAAAACAATCAACACAAAAGAAGCTATACTGCCAATTTTAAATGTGGTTTTGGTGAAGTGCCATACAGCTAACTTGACACAATGTATTAAAATATAGAAACAGGAATGTTCTGAGTGGAATTTAGGGTGACAAAATGTTGTAGTAAGTATAGTGGAATTTAGACTATAAAACTTTTATTCTGTATCCACAAGAGTCCTTAGAAAACTTGACTGGTGGAAAAATTAAAATAAATATGTGTCTTTTAATATGTTTAGGTTAATAATTGCCACATTATTTTTATGGTAAATACATCAAGTTGTAATTCCCCGCTTTGAATGTTCAAATTTTAAGTGAAAGGTATTGAAAAAAAATTATTATGACAAACCTTTTAAAAATTTTGCGGGCTTTATTTCAGGTATTCTAAAATCTATACAACACTAAGAGTCTTGTACGCAATGCTAGTAGTATTATCAAACGTTACTATGTTAGTATTATCAAACCAGACTGTTTAAAGAGCACCTGAAATTAAATTGTATCTACTACACCTTCACTTACATATTGAATTTACGTCTCTTAATTACAACCTCTAACAAGAGTTTAAATTATTGATGGGCCCGAGTACTCATTATCAAGGAGGTTCCTTTCCTAGTAACCAGTTTTTCAGGTTTAATTCATGAGCTGCCATTGCTTTCTCTATTATTTATTTGGATCTTTAAAAATATTAATAATTTCATTGATTAAAATATGACTCATTTTATCCATTGATGTAGTTTGTCGAGAACTTTAATCCATTTATTCCTTTTTATATTATAAATTGGAATATCTTACTTCAAAAATTAAATTCTTATGCTCGTGATTGTATATGTTTTTTTCTTTTTCAATGCATAATGATTATCTTTTCAAGTGCATAATGATTAAAAATAAAGAAATACAGTACACTCTCGATTATCCGTGCGCGGATTATCCGGTTTGCGGATTATCCGTGCTCATTCCGGAGTCAAACAAAAAATATAAAGAGAAACATTTTTAAGATTAAAAAAATTTGATTCATGAAGTTATAACACTACCAAATTTTTGGAAGCAATATTCGTTATTGGATTGCAGTATATGGAATATCAGTAACATGGTCTAAGGTAAAATCGTCTACGTTATCACGATCTTGGAGAAAGATCATACCGCTTGATGAACAATTCCTCTTCAGATGTTCAAGAAAAATATGATAACAGTATTCTCGAACAAGCAAAAGAAATCTAAGGTTCCGAAATTCTTGATGAAGAAAATTTAGAAGATTGGTTTCAAAGTGATGCATGTGAGCCTGGCTTCCAGTATTTGACTGATGAAGACATTGTTATGTTGTTAAATCAAATAGTGATGACAGTAACTGATGCAGAAAATGTAATAAATGAATGAAATACAATTTCTCATTCTGCTGCTCTGTGGAAGCTTTATTAGATTATATGGGAGGATTTAATTACGTTGACATTACTGCGGTTCGCAAAATGAGTGTATCGATATATGGCGAAGACGCATTACACATTTTTTAAAAAGGAAAATTCCTAGTTTGATGTTATGCATGCAAATGTCAGTAATTTTTATATTTTTTGTACTGATATTGAATTTTTCTTGAACAAAAGGAGTTTTCGGATTATCCGTGTTTTTCGATTGTCCATGCGACCTGTCCCGGTGATTAACCCGGATAATCGGGAGTGCACTGTATCTGGAAATAAATATGCAAATAATGAAAAGAAACTGGCAATGGTGGATTTTTACTATTTAAAATAACTATTGTTGGTCATAACTGAAGAATTTAGTGTGTTAATGTAAATCACTTAGTTAAGTTACAAAATCAGTTATAGAATATGATCAGTAATAGAATCATTGGGGAAGTATTTACAAATCATCTTTAAAAAAATACTCCTTATTTTTACTTTTCTGAAATAAGTCATGTTGTTGTATACAGAATTGTCTGTGTTTTAAACTCTTATTTAAAATTTTCTTTTGCTAAGATCTTCAATTAAATCAAAAAGGAAAATATATAAGTTCAGTAAAACTTTTTGAATTTGCATAATAATTATAAAACTCAATCTGATACCCACCCATTTTTGGACTTATTAATTATTCCGGCAAATCCTGTATGTTTACTAGTTAACAAAAAACTTGTCATTTGCAATCATAGAGATTTATCTTTCTAGTCTAAAAATATTTATCGCTTCAACACTAGTTTTATTTACTCATACAACTTTTATCTTTTAATATTCTAGAAAACCTAGAAAAATTTTAAGTTGTAGGACATTTTTAATGTTACGACAGAATTTCTATTTTATGTAGATATATATATCTGACAATGTTGATTACATCCAAAATCAACACCGATTTGAACTAGAATTTGACTAGAGCGATTTTGAACTAGAATTAAATAGAATAATAAAAATGAGAAAAAAAAGGATAATTTTTCTAAAATTTTTAGGGTTGTAAAAAGCTGGCTTTATTACAAAACAGTTATTGAAGGTCTGTTTAGTATTTATTTTAAAAAATAAATAAAAATTATTTTTTAAAATAAATACTAACTGTCTAAACAGCAATTTTAAAAAATGAATAAATTTTTTCATTACTCTTTGATTATTTTGTAAAATTTATAAGTTATACATTCCAATGTGTGCTTGTCTCACAATGCCCCACATATCGCTATACTTATCTTAAGCTTAAATACAATTAATTCCCTTTTTAAATGGCAAGTTAAGTAGTTAGTATAACTTAATGAGTTCATACTTTTTTCTGTAACTATATTTTCATGGTAAAAAACGATTTCTTTAATAATGATGTATTATTTTATTTTGCTGCAAAGATTTAAGCTGTCTTTTATTGTAAGAACTTTAAAGTTTATTATAAAATTCTTAAAAATTTCAATGAAACTATTTATTGCCTTTGATCATCATGTTAACTATGAATTATTAAACTGTATCAGATCCATGTATAAATGAGAGTATTTTTTTATAGCTTACTGATTGTCATGCCAAAGAAAGTCTGTATCCAGATGTAAGCTCCTTTTCATCTGGAGACACTTTTGAAAAAAGTTCTCAAGAAAAGTTGAATGACATGTATTTGAAAGGGAGACAACGAAGTGCCAAAGCAGGCATTGATAATGATGTGTTAAAATCTACAGACACTTATGAAAAAGGTTCTAATGAAAGATTGTATGATATGTATTTGAAAGAAAGTCAACAAACTACTAAAGCAGACATTAATCATATGTTTAAGAATTCCAGTTACAAGCAATATTTTGAATCAAATGCCAAGAAGGACGAACCCATGGAAACAGATGATGAGAATAACATAGTGGGAAAACATACATCTATTCCAACTGATTATTTTCCTCACTCGAGAATGTATGCTGATGTTTCTGATTTTGAAACCAAAGACAGCAATATGGATAGCTATTTTGAATTTTTGAGAAATGAGAAAGATGACTTCCTAGATGTATGTAAAAGATGTGGAAATGAAATGTGTGTTTGTAATATTGAGAAAAGTCTTTCTATCGCTGGTGAAAAAGGTAATGTACGCAGTATTTAATTTGAATACATTTCTAAAATATGGTATAACACTGATTTATTTTTTCTCATGGAAACATACTTTAAAAACATTATACAACAAGGAGGGAAATTTCAACTTGCCAGTTCACCATTGGTGACCAAATATTTAGGCCTTGCAAATAAGTTTTGTCTGTTTAAATGTTATGTTTCAAATCAAACTATCATCCATATTTTATCTCGAGTTAGTTGGGAAAATAAATATCAGAACGAAACTTTGGCAAACTTTTTTTTACTCTAAATTTGATTGAATGATTTACCCAGAATTTCAATAAATGGACTGCCATAACATATTTTGACCCTGACAAATGGTGTTTTAGTGCTAAGCAGCAGTATATAAACATAAAAGTATGAAAAAATTTTAGATTTTTTTTCTTATTTTAATGATTTTTATGTGTAGACGTTATTGGTATCATTGAAACATTATGGCAATCTTATTTTAACTAAAAATTATTTTTTTCAATAAATATGCTTTAAATTTTCTACTTCCTTTTATGAATTTGGTAACTCTTCATACTATATTTGTTCACATTCTAAAAACTGTTCTTATTTTTCGTGAAAATGATATCAACCAAAAAATGGTCGGAAATAATGAAACTACTGTAATTACTCCCTTTTTTTCAGTAGTTTATAGTGTAGTGAGTAGATAAAAAAAAACTCAGTAGTTTGTGGCATTTCCTGGCAACTACTTTTAACGTTAATTAAGTAAATTCAGTTCAATATAACTATCTTAAACTTACACTTTTTAATTTAATATACCTCACATATTTAAGAATAACTGAAAGTCTTTTTATATATAGATTGAAAAATCATTCGTGAAACATATTTACATTTGAGGTTTACATACTAAATTAAATCTACTTTTAAGTTGTTACATTTTTTTACTATATTTCAAACTAATCAGTTAACCATCATTCTAAAAGAAAAAACTATTGATTCCTTTGAAAAATCAAACTGGACTTCAATAATCGGGCATAATATGTTTTAAAACATTAACTTTGATTTCAACTATTTCTGCAGGGTGGCTACTAAATACTGTATCACTCAAGAAATAGGAATTAATTTTAATCGTTTGGTAAAATGATTTCTCTCACACTATTCCTGTGATTGGTGCTTTCTATGAGTGCATATGATTTTTGCTTTAAGCAAAATATTTAGAATAAATTTAAAGATGGAAACGAAAACAGCTTTTCGATCACAGAATTTCTGTAAGTAAAATCTTTAAGCAGTTTAAATCTCTTGGGTTTAATGAAACATTTATATATATCAATCTATAAATCAATTATTGGATATTAATAGTGTAAAAATCGACCCAGGTCTGGTCGCCCACACTCAGTTCGTACAAAAAAATGCATTAAAAGAATTTATGAAAAGATACGAAAAAATCCACAGCCGTCTTAATAAAAGGGCTGCAGAAGAGAGCGTGAGTCGAAGAACTATGCAAGTTACATTAAAGAAAGACCTGGGTTTCGCCCTATCATTATAGAAAAGTTCAAGGTTTGACAACAGCACAAAAATTTAAAAGGTTACAAAGATGTAAGAAATTGCTGAACCGGCATGGTAATAAAAGTGTTGACGGAATAATATTTTCTGATGAGAAAATATTTTGCACAGAACAAGGTTATAATGTAAAAAATAATGTTGTATATTCAGCAACCTTCAATGATATACCTGAAAGTGTAAGAATTCTGTAATGGTTTGGGCTGCAGTATCAAATAGTGGAAAATTTCCACTGAAATTCATCAATTAAAGGGTAAAAATCAATTCTGAATATTACAAAAGGTAAATATTGACTACACATTTATTGCCATATGCTGACATTGTATCGCAAAAAGGATTGGATCTTTCAGAGAGATCCTGCACCGTCACACCAAGCCAAAACAACACAGGCTTGACTCCATGTCAATTGTCCAAAATTTATTAAGCAAGATTGGCCCTCTTCTTCACCAGATCTAAATCCTTTAGACTAATGTGTTTGGGGTATTCTAGAGTATAAAATTAATGCTAAGCAGCACAGAATTTTGCCCTCCCTCAGAGCTTCTTTATTGCATAAATGGGACAAATTACGTCTTAAAATGATTTGTGCCGCCATCGGACAATGGCCTAAAAGAGTATTTTTTGTAATCGTTAAAGGTTGTGGTCTGTTCGAATAATATTTTTTTAGCATAAACTTCCATTTATAGTGTTCATCATATATGTGTATTTATCATTCTCTATTTAATATCACAACAAAATTGTTTGATATTTGTAACATTATTTTGCAGCCACTCTGTATTTTAATAATCTGGCTTTTCAGGTACCTTTCAACGGAATGCGGATCAATTGCGCTATATAGAAGAGGAAAGGAAGGCCCATGGTCAAGCAAGTGACTATAGATATTTAAAAGCTAAGAGGTATGTCTTTTTTTTTTTCTCCCCAGGATGGGTCTGATAACTCTTATGATGCTCTAAAAAGCATTCAAATTTTTTTTTAACATGAAATGCACTTTTACTAGTTATTTTGAAGTCTAATAATTATAATTAATGTTTTAATTTCATCATTAGCTAGGGGTGAACAACCTTTTTTGAGCGGAGGGCTACTTGGACTATAAGTTAACCAGTGTTTTCACTACTACGCTACGCGAGAATCTCGCATATTTTTTTCCTTTCTCGTATTAAAAAATTATTAACGCGAGAAGTTCACGCAATCTATTAATCAATTTTAAAATGCTCGAATTTTGGAAAAAATTTCGTCTTCCGTCATTTTGAAAAAGACATGTGTTCTAACACATGTCTTAAAGAACAGCTACGACAAGTGTTGAGGGAAAAAATGAGTCCTTAATAATAAGTTGTTTAAAGTTGCTCTATTTTTAGTTGTTAATGAATAACCAAACTCACTCATCGACAATTTACAGCAATTTGTAAAAGTTGAAGTCTGTGAAAACTATGTTGGAAGACCTAACAAGAAGTATGAACATGGAAATAACTTCAACGAACTTCATTATTCTATAGCGGAAATAATTGAAAAGCCTATGCTGGCAGTTGTAGAGGATAGGAAAGTGTATGCACAATGCTACAAATTTACTTAGTGATTCCGAATAGTTCAGCATCTGTTGCAAGGTCATTTAGCACCCAAAACCGTATTAAGACAAAATATTGTAACAGATTGACTGATAAGCATTTGAGCAACCTAATGAGAATAGCTGATGAAAAAGTAGACGTAGAACATTTTCCATGTGATAATGCAGCAAAAATATTCAATGCTTTAAAAACTAGAAGATGTTAAAAATGTATTATAATTAAAGACATATTTTTTTCCAAGTCTATTGTGTTTTTTTTTAATTTTTAGAAATCTCACTTAACTTTTTGAAATCTCACCCAGTTTTTGAGAAAGGGTGAGAAATTCTCTCTCATTTTTTTTTCTGTAATGAAAACACTGTTAACCAATTAAAAAAATTTAAATGTTCTACTGATTGAATTAAATGCAAGTTAAGTACTCTAATTAAAGAAAGTTTACATAGTTTAAAATGATTTAAATTGAAACAAAACAATTATTGTGCAAAATAAAATTAATATTCAGTATGTAATATTCTTCAACTTTAAGATATTATGTTAAGTAAATACTAATATGAGGTTTTACAAGTCTTAAATAATATTTTTTCAAAGGACTTCTTAAGTTTAAAAAAAAAATTAAAAGCAAAATTACATACAATAAACAGCTAAAAATGTATGTTCTTCCGCTTCTCAAATTTCGTGAGTTGTATTGATATTGTGTTAAAATATCATGATTTTCGAAAAGAAAAATGCAGCAATCACTGCTAAAAAAAACGATAAAAAATTATTTAAATTTGAAATTAAAAATGTGATTTTGAAATTCCTATGGAAAAGATCCTATGGAAAGTGGCAATAATTACTAGAAAATGATAGAAAAGTCACTTGGATTTGCGATTAAATCAGCTCAAAATAAGAGGTTCAAAAGTGATTACTAAAATTCAAGATTGATGTATTGTATTAAAATATTAGGTTTTTTTAAAACTATCTGGAAATCTAGTGATAACGACCAAAAAAACAATAAGAAATTTACATTTAATTTATGGAGGTTTATGCAAACAAAGCAAAACTTAAATGCGCAATTTAAAATGTAGAAAAAAAAATTTTCCTTCCAAATTTTTTTTAAATATTTTATTATGATAAATTGCTTTTGAGAGCTGCAGATTGTACACGTTTCACAAGCGTTAGAAAAAACAATGTATAATTGTATCTTGAAGTAGAGTGTCATACAGTTGGGTCTAATGAACCTTGTTATGAATTTAAAGCCCATTTACTAAAATCTAGCTTTTTATCTTACGAAACAAAGCTATTATTTATAAATCTATTATCCATGCTATCCTGACTTCCGCCTTGAAGACCTAGACTACAACCATGAAGAAAGAAAGAATTTTGGGTTCTAGTAGGGGCCTGATTTAGAAATCAGGGGCCACAGAACTATCAGAGACCTCACTTGTCATACCTTGAAACAAGATTTACATGTTGTTTACATACGAAATGTTTTTAAAATATTTATAGCATAAAAAAAAATGTAATTTGATATTTTAGTAAATTTGAGCTTTTATTTATTTCAATTTTTGCTAACTCATAATTCTAATAGATGATTCTTAATTAAAATGCACAAACAAGAAAAAAAAAGATTTGTTACATTTAAAGGGCCCTCAGAAATGTGGGAGCCCCTAGGCCTTATGATAAATGAGGTACTGGTAAACACTAGTTCAAAAGTGCTTTTGGCAAAATTCACGGAAATGGTATCTGAGACAAAAAAACACAACACTGAATATTTAAGGAGCCAGATACTGTTCATTACTTAAATGTAAGCTCCCACAATCTGGACATTATTCCTGTATGAGAACAGTAACATACCTAAAGAAGTTATATTAGCTAGTAGACCAAGCAATACAAGAGGAAGAACTGACTTTGATGGTTGGCTGCTATAGCGGTGTGGTTTGAAACATCTAGGGAAAAAGGCCCTGGCACCCACCCTGTGCTGTCGCACATTGAATGATGATTGATGATCATTAGCATAAGACCAATACCTTCTTAACTGTAGAACTTCTTTGTCGCTCATTTGATGTTGTAGATAGTCTTTGCCTACTGTTCTTTCTCCGATTTAAGTAATTATTAGATTTTTCTCCTATCGTGTCTTACTACTTTGGGATCCACTCTAATGTTAAGACTATGGTGGTTACAGAGCTGCAAAAGTCCATGTACAGTTGAGTGGTTGATTACTACAATCTGATTTCAGGACTAAGTAAATTGTGGTAGTGTAGTTTGTGCATGTGTCATTAGTCTTTTAGGATGACTGATAGCTGTTGTCAATGGTGTAACTTTCAAGGAGCACAGCTTCTTGAAAATATACTTAATCCTTTACTTAAGTTATACAGAATTTGTTCTGCTACACATTTCTTTCTCAATGAATATCCTGAGAGAAACCATCAGAAAATTAAGCCAGTACATATTAAAGTTAGGAAGAAACCAGAACTGTCACTCAAAAAGTTAAATAGCTCAAATAAAGTGACACAAAACTATTTTCTTATGAACACAGTATGCAAAACTAATCATAGGCTATCCTTTATAAACTTAATAGTATTTTTTGTCTTGTATTTAAAGATCTACTTGTTTATCTTTGAACATTTTTGTAGCTCTGTTGATGATAGAAAGGCTAATAATCAGCAAGATGATCAATGGAAGAAGGTAAAGACTTAATTTTATTTTCGCTATTAAAAAATACAACATAATGAAAAGTTGTAACTTTAAATTTGATGTATGGCCACTTAGCTCCATCTATGTTATTGATATTTTGGCAAAATTCCAAAAGTAAACTAACTGTACTGGGGTTTGTTCATAGTGCTTTTTAATATATATTTGTATAATCACTTTCATTTTAAATAATTTGTAGTTATTTTTTGGAACTAACTTCAATAAAGATTTTGTATTTTACTTATTTAAAATCTGTTTTGTGTAAAATTTGTATTGTTCAACTACTTGAAGAGTTGATATTATTTTTAATTACCTATTTAGTGGTTACCAAATATTTTCAAATGCAATCTGGAGTTTCCTTTTAATGCTTTGTTCAAGAAATAATTAATCAGACTTTCCTTAAAAATAAACAATTTTAAAACAATACTTTAAAATTTTAACAAGGTGCATAGCCAAATTCTTCAACAAAAAATAAGCACTCGAAAGATATTTTTAAGCACTTTGAAAAATATCATAATTAGACAGGGTTAGCAAGTTTTTGACAATTGATGGTTTTATTTATAGTGACGAAGACGATGGCATTAACAACCGATGAAATTAACAAGAGAAATGAATTTTTCTATCGCTAATAGAGAAAAAAATTGACATTGTTTAGTTAGTCCCCGTAATCAGCAAAAATTTGAGAGATTTTTTGATTCTATTGCTGAGGGCGGAAAATGAGGTCTGAAATTGAGATTCTCTTGCAAAATACAGAAGGGTTGCACCTGAGAGTCGAAAATCCTTACCACTGAATCCAGCTTAGTATACGCAAGTGCGAACCCACAAGTATTTCATTAAACATCTAAAACAAATTGTGTTTTCATACACTACAGACCGGCTGTACGCCAAAATAGATTGGGGTTGAATTCAGGGTCATCCATATGTTTGAATTTGGGGGGGGGGGTGCTCATGAAAGAAAACGACATAGCTTAATGAATTAAAAAATTTATGAAGGGAAATTTCATCTATTTAAATATTTTTAATTTAATTAGCTGAATAACTAATTAATTTAAATTAATTTCACTTTTAATTATACATGATTAATCAAATACGCATATGTTTCATTATTAATTACAATAACACATTGGTTGTAACTTTTTAAATACACTAAATTCATAATCTAAAAACTTATCAAAGAGTTATGATTTAACAACATTATTAGTGATATAATCTTTAATTGAGGGTATAAAACGATTGTTTCATGGGGAATCAAGACCAAAATTCACAACATTTATAAACACACAATGACCTAGAAATAAAATAAATATAAACATTGGGCTCTATTGGGCTAAAACCTATTTCGATAGGGCTCTAGTGAAAATCGGGGGGGGGGCGGCATGGTTGAATTAATTGTGAAAACGCTGAATAGGACAATGTCTTTTTGCATAATTTGTGGCGAAAATCAACATGGTGAGGAAATTTCAGAAAATTAAAGATTTTTTAAAAACACTTGTGGAAAAAAGCACTTTTAAGGGCTTTTAAAAATCGAAAAAAAGCACTTTTTAAAAACGCTACACACCCTGTTTAACAGAGCAGGAAATAAAATGGAAGAAAAGAAAATTCTACTTATAGAAAATCAAACATTGATTAAAATTAGATGTTATTATCATTAATCAAAAGAGAAAGTACTGTGTTATTATGAATGTATTTCCTTTTGATGCCTTTAAGCATGTAATCATTTCTTTAGTTGGTATTTTTATTTTTCTAGTGAATAATAATTGTTGATAGTTGAAGATCAAGGGAGAAAAAACTGTTTATGTCCATTTTTCAGAAAAAAGGATGATTAGATCGTCATCTGTTGCATAATAAGGATTACTAAGTTTTGACCAATCAATAACATGGAAAATTGATTCTCTTCAAGAGTTAGTACTCAGTGCAAATTTCCGGTTCATCTTGAAATTCATTTCTTCTCTGAATCAGCTTTTGTGGACATAACCGTTCATCCCTTTTGCTCTTCTGTTGTATTTGACGTGGTAAAAGCTATTGTTGTTAGAATATATAATAAATATTGGCAATAGCTATTAATGTTTGGTATGGAGATACATAGTTGGTTTATTAATTGACTTATTAGGCTTCAATAACGATGAAATAGCAGTAATAATTTTTCAAATTTAAGATAATTTTAAATTAAATTTACCACTTTATATTGGGCTATTTTAATTTAGAATATTGAATTACTTATTTGAGGTACGTTAAGAAAACTGCTTATAATTATATTATTCTGACTACAATCCAGTGGAGCAGTTGAAATAGGAACTGCTAGTAGGTAGTTAATCATTTACTTTTATTAATTCTGACCCTAATTTAATTGCCTATTCTTAAAAAACTAGATTTTATTTTAATTTAAATTCTTTAAAACTATTTTTGACATCTCTTGCTGAAATTCTGATACAATTCATATATTTAACTACATTGTTTTTATTTTAGTTTCGACCATCTTTAGAGGATAGTTTTTAAATTTGACATCTGCCCCTGAGCTTCTATTCTGTGCATTGTTGATGAAGAAAAATGTGCCATGCCATAAGAAAACCATGTGTTTGTTACTTGTTTTACAGACGTTTCTATTTTTTTCTTTTTTTAGTATTTGTGTTAAAATGATATATGTATTTTTTATATTTGGTAATTTTGTAAATTTGGTTGTTATGCTCTAGCATGGATAAAATTTGTTTTGTGTGTCTTTAAATATTTTTTTAGCAGGTATACCAACTTAAATTACATTCCGTTTTACTGACAAGTTTATTACATTAGTAATTTAAAAATTACATTACACTTAGCATGAAAAGTGATAAGTGTATTATGGTAATTGTTCAGTGCTATGTAGATTTTTTTTTAGATGATAGTATTGATATAAAGTAAAAAAATTTTAATGATAATTTGAATAGAATAAAACTGTATCCCAAAATATATTGTAAAGTATAAAGTGAATATTAACTATTTTAATTATATATTATACAGATATTCTACTATAATGATATACACATACATATTGAACAATTCCTAATTTTTTAATTATGTTAAAATTTGGTTTTCAAGTATTTTTCTGTGCATCCATGAATTGTCATATTTTTTAATTATTTTTGTGTATAAGAAATTTTTTCGCACTTGTAAAAATCAAATATCTTTGCAACATTATACTGTTAGCACAAAAATTAATATGAAATTGCATTGCATATGCTATATAATCTAGTTTTTCAAATTCAATAATTTGCACAAATATTTTTATGATAAAATTTAAAATATTGGAAATAAATTTATAAAATTTTTAAATAGTAGAGTACAATATTTTTGTAAATTCATAATGGGCAAATGTGTAAAATTTTTCTAAACATCTAGCCCATTTTTCTCAAAAACTATTTATGAGAATATGTTTTTCTTAGCCAAAGAACTAGTAAATCATCTAATTTAGTGAATATCTTAACATGATTTCTAACCATTTGTTAGATTGTTTATTTTCTTAGCAAATAAATTGTATTTATATTTTTCTGAGCAATTGCATCTTAGCATTTCGGCAAAAACATTTTATCAGTTTTAATTTTGAAAGAAATTATTATATTTCATGTTCTTAGTCTTCATATTATTTGGTATTCTATCGAGTAATCTGTCTAGTATTTTAAGTAAAGAATTTGTATCAAATAAACTATCAATATCCTCAGCAATTATAAAACTTGGCAATAAAAGAAATAGAGGAAAAAATTCAGAAGTTCTATTGTTGAGTCTAAATATTACAGTTTATGTTCTTACTCTAACATTTTATATGAGAAATTTCAATTAAAGTTGCTTAATGTGTGATCTGAGATTTTGTTTTAAGTTAAAGATTGTTATAGTACCTTTAAATTTTTGATATTTGTAATCGAATTAATGCTGTATCTGAAAAGTTTTATTCAGACTTAGTAAAGAAGTTAAAAAAGCTTGAAATATTTCATGTAATCTGTGGTGCCTTATTGTGAGTAATCAAAATACATTTTGATAATAAAGAAGTCTTGTATTTAGAACTTTCGAAAAATTGTTTTTTTCGTATTGCTTCATAATTGTAATTTGATATTGAATAAAGTATTTTTTATGAAAATGGTTACTTTTATTGTTAAAGTAGAGTAATTTAGTTGCTTAAAAGCTTTTAAAAAAGCCATCAACTATATTGACTCTTGAGGTCCGAAGAATTTTTAAAAATATATATTGTGTAAAGATCAGAAATAATAGTTTTTAATTGGGTATATCAATACCTGCATTAACCCTTTCGCACCGGACGGGAGCTGTGCCGTCCCAGTCTGTTAAATTTTTGATATTACGGCTGGGACAACATATGTCCCAGTTACTGAAAAATGTCTGGGACAGAAAATAACGCCCACTTCGTACTCCAAGCCAATTTTAAGGATGTCTCATCGTTCTGAGTCCATAAATTTCTCGCGTCAATCGTACCCGATCTAATCAAGCAAGCTACAATTTGATCCATACAGTGTGTAAATATTTTCGAGTGGTAGTTTATTAAGTGTGATTTTTGTTTTAATAAATTCAATTTATTAGGTTTTTAGCCACCACTATTTCTAAATAATTTGAAGGCTCCTTCCTCTGACGAAGGGTCGAAAGAGAATTTACCCTGATAAGTTGAGACAGCTCGCATATATTAGTGAGTCTTCTGAAACTGAAAACACAGAAGGGGAGACCGACAATGAAGTCGTTTCACACTATCACAGTGATTTGTTTGATGATGAAGTTGAGCTCCAAAACCAGAATCCACCATCATTTTCACGGTCCCATCCAACTAACTTTGCACCACGAATGCCACTAGTTACTTACATCAAGGGTGAAACAAATTTCTCTATTGGCAAAGAATCCACCGAAGTGGATTCTTTCTTCAAGATCTTTCCCAAAAGCTTATTCATTTTACATTGCCCAATGTACGAACGAAAGTATAGAAAAAGAAAGAAAGAACATTTGGAAATGCGAGCAAGGAAGTCAATAAGCAAAGGCCCCCTTCCTCCAAAACTATATCATCAACAGCGAGACTTTTCAATGTTGGAAACCATTTCCCCGTTGAGGGAAAAAAAGAAGATGTGCATGGTGCTCAAAAATGAATAAAAAGGCACGGTCGAAAATAGTGTGCACCTCTTGCAACGTAGCACTGTGTAAGAACTGTTTCCATCCCTTACCACACACTCAAGAAACCCAAACTTTAGATACTGATGTTCCTCCACTACTTTCAATTTTTTACCTTTCTTATTTTATAACTGTTAATTTCGAAAAGTGTTAATGATAAAAAAACGTTAAGTAAAATGTCAATAAAAATGAGTTATTGACTCTAGAATTCCGGCCGGGACATATGTTGTCCCATCAATGAAGCTTGTGAAATAATTGTTATTAATGGTGCGCTGTTATGGGGACGTTTATGCGTCTCCAAGACCTTCAACATTTTAGGCATAAAAGTTATTTTATCTAATAATCGCTTGGAGGAGAAATTACTGATCCCGGCGATGGGGCGCACTTGGGCTGATTTTTCGCCGTATTGAAAGGGTTAATTGATGCATTCACACTTTATCTCTCCATAAATAAAATTTGCTGTTAAAGGAAATGGCAAAACTGGTATAACTGACTGAAAGGAGAAAAAACATATTGTTTTGCTTCTTTGATTTGAAACAAATTACACTCATTATTTTTAATGGAAATGTATTTTTTTTATGAATGTTTTATTAAACAATTTAATGCAATGAATCTTATTTGCATCACTTATTGAAAATAAAGAAAACTTTCTCTTGAGAGGATGTCGCAGAATAGAATAAAATTTCCGTTTTAGAAAGTTATCTGCCTTACATGAATGCTATGATTAAAATTCACAAGATATTTCATTAAAAATTATTGCCTTGTTTTTACCCCCGTAAAATATTTAAAAAGCTCTGCTCAATTTGAAAATTGACAAACCTTGAAAAAATCATTGTTAATTATAAAATTTTTGTACCTTGTTAAATCTTTTACATAATTCAAATACCTAATGTTTTTACCTTATTGAAAATAAGATAGAAGAAAAAAAAAGAAAGATTCAAATGTATCACACTGTCTCACGTGGATAGAATTGTTACTAAAAAAAATTTGTCAAGATCCGTATTCGTGAAATTTTTAATGACTTACATTTCAAGAAAAAGATCAATATAAAAATTTTAGATGAAAAGACAATTTTGGAAAAGAATTTGCATTGAAATTGTGGATAGAAAGTCTTATAAAATATCCCAAGTTAAAGTTTGTAGAAATTACTATAATGATAATACATGTAAATAAAATATTAGAATGACAACATTAAACTAGGTGTTCAAACTTAGTAATGATCATTTGAAATCTGTTGATTAGATTACTTATCAATAAAAAATGTGTACATTAATTTCAACTTTCTAATTGCATTTATCTGGACTAAAATAATTGTTAATAACAAGGTAAATTTTATTACAAGTGTTTAAAAATAACAGTGCAAGTTTAGATTTTAGTAACAAATTAGCTCTACAATTGATATGCAAATCTCCAATATTCGATAACTTTTTTTAAAAAAAAAAAAAAAGAATATTTAAAAAGAGATATATAACAATTTTCCTAGCGCCTAAAGTAATATTGGAGACTCTTGAGTTTCATATTTTAACAATTTTATTATTATTATTTTTTTTTAAAAAATAAATTTTATACTATTATAAATTTAATTAAACCTTATTTTTCTAGACCTGAGGACAATTAAAAATTAAGATGAAAAAGGTAAAATTAAGAAAAAATTACTGATAAAACATACCCAGAGTTTCAAAACAAACTTCTCTATTTTTTAGCATGTGAAATCGGTAGACCCATCTGTATCGTGGTCAAGGAGCTGTTCTTAAACCAGGAAAGTTCCGGATTCAAATCCTGCTTCTGGCATGGATGTTATTTCACTCTCTGTGTTTTTGTGTTGTGGGGGGGGGGGGGGATNGGGGGGGGGGGGGGCATTGATCCATGATATGATGATACCGCCTGTTGAGAACCATGAGATTATAAGTGGTGGACATTTGGGGGAAAGGGAATATAAAACTATTAAAAATAATCTTATTTATTGACTAACAGTACTCAAGAGTTTTATAACCTAATTTGCATTTTTAATAACGTTTTTTATTCTTTTTTATTAGACTTGAAATGATCACTTTAGAGATCTTAACTTTTAATAAAGGATTTTAGTGAAAATCAGGGTTTGAAAAAACCCGGGGGAAATTGGGTTTTTTCATGTAGTGCTCATAAACTACTTACTGTGAAAATATTTTTATGTATTAAATAGTGATGTATAAACTTAAAAATAGAAATAAATCCAAAAAAGTTTATGTAAAATATATATATTATAATTAAAATAAGTTTAAAGAATGCACTATCACTAATACATGTTTGAATCTTTATTCTTAAATACATAACTTTTCACAATTTTTAACACTAGAAAGACGGAAAATTGGTATATACCTATATTGCCTAAAAGCAGTCAAAATGACAGGATTGTGAATGCGTAAATAAATTTGTTTAAAATTCATTTTTAACACTTTTTATATTATTTACATAACAAGTTCTTAGTAAATATTAACAATAAAAAAATTATACGTTGTACAAAAAGTCACAAAATTTTAAGAAATTGTGTCATTATAGACATCATTATTTTTCTAATTGAAATTAAACAGTCAAAATGACTTCCTTAGGCAATCTAGTGTTAACTGAAGCACTATAAAATATAAATGCAACAGTAATATAAAAGGAACAAGTTTATAAATCTTTTTGTTTTCGTTTGTTGTTTATGTTTATATATATATGTATATTACTTATTACAAATTTATAATCAGTGAAAACTAAAATTTCATCTAACTTTTACCTTTAATAAAATTAAACTGGAATAAATATTTAATGGTCTTCCATGTTTTTATAATACGATTAATAGAAAGTGAAATTAAAATTACGTATAATTATAAAGAGTATCAGTTACTTGTCCCATTTTTCAAATATTTAACCTTAGAAAAAAGACTGCATTTTTAGATCAATTTTAACTTTATAATTTTAAAAAACAAATTAATTTAAAAATTACAAAAAAGCATATATAAAAATTGTTAGCTTATTTTTTTAAAACCAGAAAATAAAACTTTGTATTTGTTAATTGTTGTTTAATGCATCACTTAATCGAAAATGTTTTTTCATTTGTTTTTAACATTTTTAAACATGATTAAAAGAAACAAAATAAATTATATTAAAATAAAATCTTGAAAATAATATTTAAAAAATCTTAAAGTAATATTTTAATTTTTAACTATTTTTTAATTGTGATAAACTTTCTCCAAATAGTTAAAAATTGTCAGATGTTAAGAGTTAACTTAAAAAAAGATCCATTTCTCTCTTAGATGGTGATACACTTTTACGAGTTTTGTAGCTTTATCTATTTCGTAGTTTACTCTACACCAAATTGAAAGTTGAAAAGTGTCTTTCGATAGAGACAGAGAATGCTGGTGCTGAGTGTAAAGAAATTTTGTGGAAACTTGGAATTTTTTTTCATAATTTTTTTTGCCGTAATTTTCCACTATTCTTTGATGAAAACTGTAGAATAACGGTGTTAAGCATCATTGATTTTGGAAAGTATTCAGGATTCGTAATTTTGAATGCCATAACACCTGGCAGAAATTCTGGATGATGCTTAGAAAGACACTTTTCTGCTAATTGCACTTGTTCATCATTTAAAAATTGTCCCCTTATTTCGGGATCCAGGATGCATATGCTAATAAATGAGGTGGCTGAACAGCTTGATGGAATGTTTATGGGGTTCCAATTCATCACACGATAGTAAGTTAATTCATAACAGCTTCTGAAATTGAAAGGTTTTCTAATTGAAGCTTTTTTAAAGCTTCAGAAACAATTGATATCTGTTTTTCCAAATTGATAGTTTATTGGTAAAGCCCAACTGAATGGCGTATT